GCCGGTTCGAGGGCCTGGGGATCGTCCCCTACGGCCTTCGGCGCGCAGGCCAGTCGCGGGACGTCATCGCGGGCAGGAGGTCTCAGGTGAAGGTCCAGCGTCGCGGGCGCTGGGCCAGCATGAGCTCTCGCATCAGGTGCGAGAAGTCCAGCAAGGTCAACTTCCTGCTCGTGGGCCTAGACGACAGCGTCCAGGAGTACCTCTGGCTCTGCACGGCGCACCTTGGAGACATCCTCCTCGGCGCGGTGAGCGCGCCCCGACCGCCTGGTTGGAGCGAGGAGACCTTTTCATCAACATCTTCGCTGGTTCCGAGGGAGTCGGCAAGACGGTGGCGAGGTGTGGCATCTCGTCGCCAGAGGTACAGCTCGAGCCTGAGATCGTCATTTTTGCGCCTGGAATAATAAAGGCACTTCTGAAGTTGATCCGCTCGGGCCGCGTGCAGGGAATATTCGTGGCTACGCCGTGCCGCTCATTCAGTATCGCTAGAGTGCTGTTCGTTCTCCTGAGTACCGTTCATGATCGGGAACCCCGCCTCTGCTATGCTCTGGTTCGTCCAGTTTTTGAAGCACATCGCAGAATCCAAGTTCGCTGAGCCTGTTGTTTTCGACCTGTGCCAGTTCGGGACTGACTTCAGGAAGCGGACCACCATCTTGTATCCTCGGATCTCGACAACTCCTTCCTGATCCGAAGATGCGTGGGCAAATCGATATATGCTCTAGGTCAGGAAAACCCCCACGACATCTTCAAGGGAAAAGAAAATGCTGGATGGAAGACCGACCGTGCTAAACATTACCCACCTCGTCTCTGCACTGCTATCGCCTGCACCTTCAGATTCCTGTGGGCCCAGAAGCACGTTGCGAGTTCGGTGGCACGGACGACCACCCCTCCAGGATCGGCCTCTCCCTCCCGTACCCGCCCGAGGCCAAAACATTTCTGATATTCGGGACCTCTTGATGGTGATTGGGGACATAGAGCAGTAGAATTCTATACTGATTGGTGGCAAGCCTGTGATGAATCGCTTTGGGATATCATTCTATTGGCCGAGTAAATCGTCATGAGAGTGCGTGCACAGTAATGACGACACGGGGGCCGTACAGTGACACGAGTAGGGGGAAGGTAGCAAGAGCGTCGCGTGCCTCGCCCGCCCCGTGCTCATAGCCTTCTGTTGTTCCCGACCCGACCCGCCCTGGGACATAGAGCAGTAGAATTCTATGCTGATTGGTGGCAAGCCTGTGATGAATCGCTTTGGGATGTCATTCCATTGGCCGAGTAAATCGTCATGATGATGATGATGATGCTGATGGCGCTTCGGGCGGCACCTTCAAGTGCGGCCCGGCGCCTGGACAATTTGGACATCCATGTCCATTTTGTCTGGAGACGGCTTGGGCCCTCTGGAGGCCCAAGTCGGATCAAGGCCTCCAAGACGCCCCAAGACGGCCGAAAAGGGCCCCCAGACGGCCCAAGAGGGCACCAAACGGACCCCACAGGGGTTCCAAAAGGGCTGCAACAAGCTCTTCCCAGCAAGGCTCCCAACAGAGAGCGGCGACGTAACACGCGCTTACCAGCAAGGCTTCCAAGAACGAGCGATGATGCAACAAGCTCTTGACGCCAAGACTCAAGAACGGGCGGCAACGTAAAAGTCTCTGAACACCAGTGCTCCCAACAGAGCGGTGACGTAGCTGGTTATTAACACCAGGGCTCCAAAGAGCGAAGGGTGCCACGAGCCATCTCGGGCAGGTTGCCGAAGCGCTCTTGCCGTTTCCGTGCTGGCCCCAGGCGAAGGCTCGGATTTTCGGTTCGTGTTTCCTCTTTTTGCCCCCTTTGGGGGCCCTCTTGGGCAGTTTTGGGCGCCCTCCCTCCTCCCTCCTCCCTCCTCCCTCCTCCCTCCCTCTTGTGCCGTCTTGGGGCCCTTTTGAAGGCCTCTTGGGGCGGTCTTGGGGGCTTCTAGGGCCGTCTGGAAGCGTCGGGAAGCCGAAAAGGCGAGAACGCCAAATCTTTCCAAAAACCATTGGAAATCAATGATTTGGCATCTTGGGGCCATCTTGGGAGGCCTCTTGGAGGTCTGTTTGGGCGTCTTGGAGGCTTCTTGGGCCGTCTGGAGGCCATCTTGAGCGTATTGGAGCGTTCGTTTGGCGACTCGGGGCCCTCTTGGACCGTCTTGGGGGCTTCTTGGGGCCCTCTTGGCCCGTCTTGGGACCTTCTTGGGCCCGATAAGTGCATGCGACAACACCTCCCGGAGCCCAGGGGGGGGCACGCGCCAAACTCCGGTACATTTGAGAGCGAGGGGTCCGGGTCCCCTCACGAATCTTCAGGAGTAATGAGTGAGGTTCAGAGGATTAGCCAAAGGACTTGAGGACAAGCCCACTCCGTGCCCAGCGGCACGGTGGCAGATATCAGAGTGAGGGGATCGAGCGGTCATTAATTTTCCCCTGCGTGCGTGGCTGAAGTGGAGTTCCGTGGCGCGGATTCTGTTTGTTGTTGTTTGTTGTCGTCGTCCCACCCGCGACCCGCCCCGCGACCCACCCGCGACCCACCCGCGACCCATCAGCGACCCACCCGGCGACCCACCGGCGACTTACCCGCGATCCCCCCATTCTTATCCGCAATTGTGGGTGCTACATACTCCCACTATGTCACCTAGTCGGCCGACAGGGGATCCATCCAGGGGGGTCCATCTTGATTGTTTGAACGAAAGAATATTTTCCCTTTCAGAATGAACGTTTCGTCGTCGACGTTGCAAAATCTGCGGCGGGGATGGACCGGAGTGCGCATCGCGCGCGACATGTCGGTATCGGCTTGGCGCCGTGTTCGATTAAGCTCCCGCTTGGGCGCGCGAGCGGACGAGAATGTCGCTC